GCTCTGGCCTGCTCTTCTTGCCTCTGTCCATTGGGGGTGGCCACTCTGGGGCTCCGCCTGGAAGCCTGCCTTGTTGGGCCAGGCCATAAGGACCTGGGTGTCCTTTCCTGGGGCCCAGGGCTCCTTACTGTGCCATGAGACCCCAGCTAGTGTCTGGGATGAGGGTTGTGCAAGGTCATCCTGAGTCTGCATTTGAGGGGGAGCCCAGAATACCCCCTACTCCCAGCCAGCAGCCTGGCCCCAAAGATAGTCAGCTCCCACAAGGGGCTTCATGGTACCACTTGGTTGCTTGAGGCAGTTGTGCTGGGCCCCAAGTGGTAGCAGAGGGACAGGTTTCCTGGGTAGCCCCTCCAAGCCTGAGCCCACAGGATGCCTCTTCCTGCTTCTCTGACCCATGCATGGCAGCTTTGGCTTCCTTTGACCCAGCACACATGTGCACAGGGACATGCAGCCTGAGAAATGGATCACCCCATAGTGTAATGATCACCTGAGAGTTCCAGAAGGACTCACAGCCATGGGCTGGGGGTCTGCCTCTTGTTTGGGCTCTAGGTGTCAGCAGCAGGCACAGAGGAGCCTGAGCTTTGCGCATGTATACTGTGTGTGGTGTCGCTCTGCAAGGGAGGCAGAAAGTGCTGGAGGAACAGGCTCATTGGGGTCACAGAAAAGGCACAGTGTCCTGAGATCAAAGGTCAGCTGATGCTCCAATGGTTTTCCAGATAATGTCACTTGTGAAGAAGGATTGATTCATTTCAAAGGCAGAGTTAACAAAACAGAAACTCAGATCTTTCACCTGCTAGCTCACTCTGCACAGTGGCCACAGTGTCCTGGGCTGGACCAGGCTCCAGCCAGGGACCAGGAGCTCTCCTTGGTCTCCCATGTGGGTGTCAGGGGGACCCTCAGGGTCCTGGACTGTCTTCCCAGGCTTTCCCATGTGCACCAGCAGGGAGCTCAATGGGCAGTGCTGTATGTTAATCCCCGTGGTGGGCTAGGCTGAATTACCCTTACTCTAGCCTATCTTCTGGCCTCTCTCATGATTTTTCTGTGCGCTGTTTACCAAGACACCAATTAATTGCCTTACACTAGGGATTTGCCTGACTTTCATGGTGGTTTTGATTTGTCAGTTTATTCTGGGGAGGCCTCAAATCCACATTTTATGACTTCAAATCTTTGTAACTTACCAGAACATTTTTAGGGTCACATATTTTATGTTTCCTATGGATACTCTGTGTGATGACTCTTCTTATTCCCATTTCTTAAAATGTCAGCACAATTGCCTTTCAAAGAGAATAGACCAAGATCCATTTATTTACTTGAAGGTCAGTTAAAGAGTGAGAGGCACAGCCTGAATCTTCCATCTGTTGATTTTCTGCTAGGTGGCCACAATGGTCAGGACAGTGCAAGGGTGAAACCAGGAGGCAAAAGTTCCCTCTGGGTACTTGGGTGCAAAGGGACCAAGCACTTGGCTTTTCCCAGACTGTTAGTGTGGCGCTGGCACAGAAGTGGAGCAGTCAGGACAGGAACCAGTGCACTTATAGGGTGACAGCACTGCAAGTGGCGACTTGACTTGCTGTGCCAAATGTTGGATTCTAGCTGCTTTACAGCATGTTTCTGTTATAAACTAAATACTATCATTGCCTTTCTATTGGACTTGTTCATGTCTTCACAAACAAGTATAATTAATTCTATTGTTGGATTGCACTTTTCTCTTTTGCAAATTATTTTCTATTGATTTGTCTCTGTGTTTTTATTGTTTTGCTTCCTTTTTGTCTTTTGCCCTTCAGTCCTTCCTGTAGTTCATCTGTCTGTGTTTAGTAGATATGTTCTGTGGATTAGTGTAGGCCATTTTCTTTAGGGGGGCAGACACCCGCTCCCCTTCTTTTTTGCCTCTGTGCTCCCATCTCTGCACCCCCAAGTCACTAGTCTGCTTCCCCACTGTCTGTGACAGCCTCATGTCCTCACCCAGCCATCTCCCCTTCTCTCCAGCTTCATGGAAGATGGCCTCCTGTCCTCCTGAACTGGGACTGCCCCAGTGCAGGGCAGGCTGCAGGGCCACAAAACAAAGCCCTGTCCCAAGGAGATGCAGCCCCAGGAGGCAAGGAGTTTCCCAGTAGGGTGAGTTTTGTCTACAGCAGTGTGCAGAGTACTGGGAGGACAGTGGCACAAAAGGTGCAGGTTGTTTGTGTCTGTGCCTGGCATGCTGGCCAGGGCTCTGTGGTAGGCGGCAGTGCCCTAGCCTCCAGGGAAGCAGGTAGGGCAGTGGGGGAGATCCCCAAGAATCTGGGTCCAGTGCAGCCAGGAACTTGGCACTTGGGCTTCAAAATTGTTCCCTTTGGGATCATGGGTGGATAGAGGGAGCAAGGATGCCCCTCCCTTAAACTAGGGCTTCTAAGAGACTCACCTCTTCCCCTTTAGCCCCTGCTTTGTATCCAGTGTTCAAATGGTTCCATGCTGGTGTAGAGGCTGCTGCTTCTGAAGTTTCTAGAAAAATGAGATGAAAATGCTTTCTAAACATTTTCGAAAACTACTAAAATTGATGCATATCCTTGTATGTGTAGCATAAGTGATGGATAGACAAAGTTCAACAGCATTATATATTTTTTAAAAAGATTTAGTAATTTTTATTGGAAAGTCAGATATACAGAGAGGAGGAGAGACAGGAAGATCTTCTGTCTGATGGTTCACTCCCCAAGCAACCACAATAGCCTGAGTTTAGCCAATCTGTAGCCAGATCAGGGATTTTATCCCTGGTCTCCCATGCAAGTGCACGTATCAAGACTTTGGACAGTGCCCGAGCGTTTCCCAGGCCACAAGCAGGGAGCTGAATGGGAAGCGAGGCCACCAGGATTAGAACAGGTGCCCCATATTGGATCCTGGAACATTCAACGAAGGACTTTAGCCACCATGCTATCCACCAGGCCCAACAGCATTATATTTTTTAAAATGATATATGTATTTGTTTCAAAGACAGACACCAGGCCCTTCACTTCCCCACCCTGACTCCCAAGACCTCACTGGACCCCATTCTGCCTGAGCCAGATGCCCAAACCCTGGGGCCTGAGGCACCTGGCAGTGGCTCTCAGGATCCAAGCCCAAGAGAAGCAGATGGATGAGTGAGACATGGCCTCTCCACATCCACGCCCAGGTTCCCAGAGGGTGCCCAGATGCAGTCCCCAGGAAAAGAAACCCCAGGCTTCTGGGATGTCTCCTCCACACAGCGGGACCAGTCCTCAGGGACACTCCTCATCTACAAGCGAACCTTCTCTGAAGGAACAAAGCTGTTGGAAAAGCATAGACAATGGGCTTGCCCGGACTGAAGTGTGCAGGTCCGAGCTCGTGGTCGCCCAGCACCTGAGGCTGGGGTCTGTGGTGGCTGCATCAGGCCGGGCACGTGGGTGCATACATCAGCAGAGCTTGTTCTGTGCTCAGCCGCCAGTACCCCAAGGACCATAACACAGGTACCATGTTCCACGTGACCCCCACACCCTGAGAAACCCTGAGTCAGGAGCACCCACTGTCCTCTTGGGCCCCAGGAACCTGTCTGCCCTGTGGGGGTGCAGACAGCTGAGCTTGTGTGTGGGCCTGCATTCCAGGCAGAAGCCACCAAGGACACTGGGGCTACAGGGGTCTGTGCAGCCAAGCTGCCTCCTGGGTGGGCACACAGGGCAGTGGGCCTCACCCTGTACCCTATGCAGCCATTGGGGCCCCTGAGACCTGGAGATGCAGCACCTGGTGGCCACTAGAAGTCATGTTGCTGAGAGTTCAGCACCTACGTGGGAGACCCAGAAGCCTGTGACTCCTGGCTTTGGATCAGCATGAGGAGGACAGCCAGTTTCAGAAAGAGTCAAAACTTCCCAAATCATTGCACAGCGCCCTTGCCTCAGCTGCTGCCTGCTTCTGGAGTCGGGGGTGGATGGATGGGACAGAACAGGAGAGTCTTATGGGGGCAGAGCCAAGCCTGCAGGTTCTTACTCTCTTGGGTCCGTTCCTCCTGGCAGATGCCAAAGTTGTCTTCTGAGGTGTGGCAAAGCACTGACCATTCCTGGGTGCCATTGCCACAGGTCACAGGCAGAATCCCTGTTCAGGGCTCATCTCCCAGGCAGGGTCCTCAGCTTGGAGAGCTGGAAGAGGCTGTGACAGCCCTGTCTCACCTCCTGTGACACAAAAGAGACTGGGTGGGCTCCAGGGGCAGAGTGCAGGTCAGAGCTTGCCCACTCACGATGGCTCTTTGCAGGCTTATCTGGTCTTCTGAAATGAGCTCAGGGCCTTCCTTATCCACAGTGGCCCTGACCATCCAGTTGTCCCCCCTCATCCTCCTGCAATTCCGGATGCCATTAGCGCTAATCCTGGAGCAGGACTCCCGCAGCGCAGCGAAATTCCTTCTTCTCCTGTGTACACCTGTGTAGCACCAACCATGCATGCGAATGGATGTTGCCCCATGGGTGACCCCAGGCATGCTACCCCAGGGATTCCAGGGCATGGCCAGGTGGGACGCCCAGCCACAGCCCAGAGCTGGGGACTTACCTGAAACCAGGGGTCAGCATGCCAGCAGCCTGGACACAGTTCCCAGTTGCAGGCCCAGCAGCCCTTAGGCCGATTGAAATTGTGGTGCTTGTTGTACATGGAGCACATGGTATTGTGCAGTGGCTGGACACAGTGCATGGGGCACACCTGCATGCCTGTCTGCCCACCCACAGCTCTGGCTACACGGTTCCCATTCGCCAGTGACTCAGCTGCCAGTGCAAAGCAACCCAGTTTAGCGCCGCTCTGGGCCCAAGGGACTGGGGTGCCATACTCTGTAGCCTAAATGAACTCAGAATGAAGAGAGGCTGCCCACTCCCCTGCCAAAACACACTTGTCTTCTTCTGGCAAGGTGTCAGAAGCCAGATACTCCAGAGTGAATCCCAAGCACATCCAGCACTAGAAGATGTGGACTGGGGCTGTGGCAAGGGGACACTGGGGAATGTGTAAGGGCCCACAGCTCCATGTGCACCTGTTCCGTGGATCTCTCCATCTGGGCTGGATACCAGCCCAGGCCCTTGTAGGCAGCCAGCCACATGCTCAAACCATGTTCAGGTAAGATAGACATGAGCCCTTCAACCTCACTTCTGTTTTCAGAAGTGCCTCCCTATTCATGGGCATAACCAGCCCAAATGGCAGGCACAGGGTCCCTACTATCCTTTGGTTCCCACTGCTGCCCATTCTAGCAGGGTACACCAAGCCACCTGACAACCTGCAAAACCAGACCTGCTGTGATGTCCTGGCTTGCTATAGAACCGCTGGCCCTTTGTGCAGATGAGATTATTTGGGGAGGGGTCTCCTATTTTTCTGGGGAAGGATTCAGGAAGGTGTCAGGGAGTCCCACTCCCTGGGGTGGGGCTTAGGGAGATCACGATGTGCACAGGGAGCTAAGGAAACCTTGAAGCCCCAGCTAATGCTGTTCCTGAGGCTTAGCAAGAAGGGGCAGAACAGGGGGAGTGGGACACAGCATTTTAAGGTATGGCCTGTGACATTAGCATGCCAAATGGGCACCAATGCATGCCCTGGCTGTCCACTTCCAATTCAGCTTCCTGCTAATGGCCTGGGAAAGCAACAAGGGTGGGCCATGTGTTTGGGCACCTGAGCCACATGAGCGACCAGGAAGAAGTCTCTGGTCTTTTGCCCAGCCTGGGTCCAGCCAGGAATTTGGGAAGTTAACCAGCACATGAAAGATTTCTCTCTCTGTAACTTTTTTTTTTAGATTCATTTATTTATAATGAAAATGTGGATTTATGGAGAAAAGGAGAGACGGAGATGGAGATCAAAGAGAAGGCGTAAAGACAGAGGCAAAGACGTTCCATCTACTGGCTCAATTCCCAAGTGGCCACAATGGCCAGAGCTGAGCAGCTCCAAAGTCAGAAGCCTGACATCTCATCTACCAATCGATGTGGGAGAAGGGACAAAGGTGGTGCCACAGAGCGAGCTTATGGGATGGAGCAATCAGCCTGGTCAGGGCCACTTGAGTCATCTCCCTAGTTATGCAGCTAGGGGCTAGGCAGTCAGCAGACAGTGTGCGGAGGAGACCAGGGCCAGGGGAAGAGCAGTGATGCAGATAATTAGTGGATGAAGGTGGTGGGGGCACGGGTATGTCCATTTCACTCACACACTATACACAGGTGTGTCCATCACACACACACACACCATCCTCCCCATCCCCTCCACCCCCGTACCTTTACAGAGGCCCTTGGGGGACAGACTGGAGATGAACCATTACATCATGGTCCATAGTCGATGATCAAATGGCTTTCTGGACACTTCTCTGAATATCCTCACACATTTCTATACAATTTTTAAAGAGCTTTTAAAAAAAGATTTATTTTCATTGAAATGGTGGATACACAGAGAGGAGAGACAGAGGGGAAGACCTTCCATCCAATGATTCACTCCCAAGTGACCGCAACGGCTGGAACTGAGTGAATCCGAAGCCAGGAGCTTCTTCCAGGTCTCCCACACAAGTGCAGGTTCCCAAGGTCTTGGGCCATCCTCAACTGCTTTCCCAGGCCATAAGCAGGGAGCTGGATGGGAAGGAAGGGCACCGGGATTAGAACCGATGGCCATATAGGATCCCGGCACGTGGAAGGCAAGGACCTTAACCACTACACTACCTTGCTGGGCCCCACTTTTTTTTAATACACAAATTATCAGGATACAACAGTGAAACCTCACCAAAGGACCATGCTGGACAAGAATCAGCACCTCCTGCTCCAGGTCTAACAACTGCTGCCTTTCCTTTCCACTCTTCTTACCTCACACAGTCCCCAGGCACCATGTGCACAGGCTTGGACCAGGGGGTGATGCTAAGGTGACCTGGGGGAGCCCTTGGAGGGTGGGGCCTAGTGGGAGGGCTGAAGGCCCTCTGTAGTGCTTGTCGCAGAGTGGGTTCCAGGCACTGGCTTGGCTGCCTGGCTCCCCCTGCAGTCTTCCCTGGGCCATCTACTACCCTTGTGGGAGGCCAAACCATGGGACTGCCTAATCTTGGACTTGAGTTCCCTACAACCACAAGCCAAGTAAAGCTCTTACTGCACCTGTCAAGTTGCTGCTGGGGAATGTCAACATCTGGTCAGCTCCCCTCCTTGACTGCAGGTGTCAGGAAGCATTCCAGGTGCATGCAAAAGGCTACCGGACTTCTACTTAATGAGCCTTATTATATCTATTTCCTAGATAAACTGTATATACATATTTATTCATCTGTCCTTTTGTTGCCCTGATGGTGCAGCCCATTTGACAGCACACAAGTTTCCTTTGATGGAGTGTTTCCTCCTTTGTAGTAAACTAGAGCTGCTCACTTACACAAGGGCCCACGCCCCCTGGCTCCTTTGGAAACTCACTTGGGGCTATCAGCATCTGTGCCGTCTGATATGAAACTCCCCAGATCCCAGAATGCAGCTCTTCTACTTTACCACCTCAGAGTACCAAATGATCGACAGTTTGGTCTTGCTCACTTAAAAAAAGAAAAAGGAGGGGCTTGGCACAATAGCGTAGCAGTTAAAATCCTCACCTAAATGTGCTAGGATCCCATATGGGTACTGGTTCTAATCCCAGTAGCCCTGTTTTCCATCCAGCTCCCTGCTTGTGGCCTGGGAAAGCAGTCCAGGATGGCCCAAAGCTTTGGGAACCTGCACCCACGTGGGAGAACCAGGGGAGGCTCCTGGCTTCTGGCTACAGATTGGCTCAGCTCAAGACTTTGCGGCTGCATGAGGAGTTAATCAGCAGATAGAATATCTTCCTCTTTGTCTCTCCTCCTCTCTGCATATCTGCCTTTCCAATAAAAATAAATAAATCTTTAAAAAGAAATCATTAATACAAATGGCTTATTGACGTTAACATTAAATAAAGACATGACATCCGTAAACAGGAGTAAACCTCTCCACGCCTATGTGGATACAATACAATTTACCTCTTCCCCTGTTGCAGGAGTTACATTTTTCCATCATGTGGAGGAATTATTGCAATGAACAGCCCCGTGGTCTCCTGCACACGCATGCTCCCACTTCTGGCAGGTGCATGTCTAGCTGCTGGCAGGGGTGGCAGCAGATTTTTGGGGGGAATTATTAATTTCTTTATTATTATTATTATTAGTTACATTGCATTATGTGACACAGTTTCATAGCTTCTGGGATTCCCCCAACCCCTCTCCATACCCTCCTCCCATGGTGGATTCCTCCACCTTGTTGCAGTATGACAGACCAAATTCAGTTGAGATTCCTTCACTGCTAGGATATACCAGGGAAAGAGTCCAGCAGCTAATTGTCCAGATATATTCAATGGTTTCTTGGGGAGATCATCTCTGGTCTGAAGGTAGAGCTGGCAGAATATCATCCTGATCAATTAAAAGCCCCAACATAACATCAACAACAATTTACAACATTATGGAATTAATTGTCATGGTATTGAGTAACCAATATGTTATAAAATGCAAGTTCTTAACCACATCCTGAATGGCTATAGGGTACTATGTCTATCCTCATTTTAGTATTTAGCAGTCTAGAGCGTTGAAGCATAATTATACTGAACTTGGCAGATTTCAGGATAGTCCAAACTGACTTCTTCTCTAGCAAGGCATATACCTACAGCTGAGGTGTAGAACTGGTTTAGGAGGGGTGTGCAGAGAAATCTTCCATTCCCCAGTGAGGAGTATCTAATCTCTGTGTCCTACCTAGTAAGGTATATGTGAATCCATGCTGACCGTTTCCTGTCTGGTTCTAAGCTTTCCTTGTTGTTCTCTGTCTATTCTAATTTTGTTTGTTTGTTGGGGACGGGCCTATGGAGTGACCCTCATGGTCATTGCAAGAGAGGATGGGGATCCAAAATTGGAACTAAGTAAGGACCAGAGAAACCGCCTCTCCCTGGACCTGAAGGAAGTTTACTGTTCTTCTGTGTCTACAGATCACTCAGGTTTCCTGGCTGTTGTTCCAATGAACTTGGATCCTGTGAGGAAGGATTTGGGCTTCTTCCAACCCATGTGGTAGATCCCAGTGGGGGTGTATGACCTCACAGTTCTCGGTCTCCGAAGGCACTCCAATTCCCAGTGGTCTCCTTGGCCATTGAGATTTAGTCCTTGGTGCCTGTAACAATAGTCCTTGGTGTGGATCCAGGTGTCTCCAAGGTTGGGATACAAGCCTCCTGCTGTCCACCTGCTCCACTCTGGGGTCCCCCTCCCCCCGCTCTATGCATATGACCTCCTGTTAAGAGGTTGTCAGGATCACTCGATTCCCCCATATGTCTTTGTAGTTTTACTAATGTACTAATGTCTAATGCTGATTTGAGTCTGTTGTCTATAAGTTACCTGTTATGTTCTTGATAGGTTATACTTCACGTCTTCCTCACATATTCTAGGGAGATGGAAGATTTCTCTGCTCTCCCGCCCCATTACCGAGAAGCATAGGGTCTTAAAAGTGTGTTAGGTTTTACAGTTCTTTGATGTAGATCATGAACAGTCTGACTTACACTGATTGCTGGTTCATTGATTACATCACAATATCTTATGGCATGTGTTACAGGCTGTTAGAGGTTGGAATAATATTACAATTTACAGGTACTATTTTTCAAATTAATAGCATTTCAACTTAAATTAAGGCAAACATGTGGTATCTGACCTTTTTGGATTGGTTCATTTCCCTTAGCATTATGGTTTCCAGTTGGGCCCATTTGGCCACAAAGAACTGCATTTCTTTTTTTTTTTTTTTTTTTTTTTTAATAGCTGAGTAGTATTCCATGGAGTAGATGAACCATAGCTTTCTTATCCAGTCTTCTGTTGATGGGCATTTTGGTTGCTTCCAAGTTTTTGCAATTATTGATTGTGCTGCTATGAACATGGGGGTGCATGTTGGTTTCTCGTGTAACAGGTGTTTTGGATATATTCCTAGAAGTGCTATTGCTGGATCATATGGTATGCAGATTTTCAGTTGTTTGAGTGTTCTCCATACTGATTTCCATAGGGGCTGTACCAACCTGCACTCCCACCAGCACTGGAGAAGTGTTCCCTTTTCCCCCACATCCTCGCCAACAAGAACTATAGGTGATTTTTTGTATATGAGCCATTCTTACTGGCGTTAGGTGGTACCTCATTGATGTCTTGATTTGGATTTCCCTTATTGCCAGGGAACTTGAGCATTTTTTCATGTTTGTTTGCCATTTGGGTTTGTTCCTTTGTGAAATGTCTGCCCATTTCCCGTGCCCATTTCTTGAGTGGTTTGGTGTTTTGGTTGTTCTGGAGAACATAGTATATTCTGGAGATTAGCACACTGTCACCTATGTAGTGTACAAAGATCTTCTATTCTGTGAGTTGCCTTTTTACTTTGTTGGTAGTTTCCCTTGCTGTACAGAAGCTTCTTAGTTTGATGAGGTCCCATTTGTTTATTTTGGCCTTGACTGCTATTGCTTTTGGTGTTCTTTTTAGGAAGTCAGGGCCTACACCTAAATCTTGCAGGGTGTTTCCAACATTTTCTTCCAAAAGTTTGAAGGTTTCTGGATGTAGGTTTAGGTCTTTTATCCATTTAGATTTGATCTTAGTGTATGGTGAAAGATGTGGGTCTATCTTCTTGTTTCTGCAGGCTATTAACCAGTTGTCCCAACAGCATTTATTGAAGAGACCTTCCCATTTGCTTGGATTGTTGTCTTTTTGTCAAAGATTATTTGGCTGTATCTGCGTGGGTTCCCTTCTGTTGTTTCTATTCTGTTCCATTGATCCACCTAGCTCTGTGCCAGTACCAGGCTATTTTGATAACCACTGCTCTGTAGTATGTCCAGAGGTCTGGAACTGTGATTCCCCCTGTTAACTTCCTATTCTTCAGGATGGTTCTAGCTATTCGTGGTTTTTTGTGTTTCCAGATGAACCTTTGTATCATTTTTTCCAGTTCTATGAAGAATGTTTTGGGTACTTTGATTGGGATTGCGTTGAATGTATATTGCTTTTGGTAGTATGGACATTTTGACGATATTGATTTTACCTATCCAGGAGCATGGGATGTTTCTCCATCTTTTGAAGTCTTCCTCAATTTCTTTTTTAAGCTTATTGTAGTTTTCTTCAAAGAGATCTCCTACATTTTTGGTTAGGTTTATTCCTAGATACTTCATACTCTTCTCTGTTATTTTGAATGGTATCCTGTTGGTTAGATCTATTTCCATCTTGTGGCTGTTTGCATACACTATGGCTGTTGATTTTTATTTATTTTGTACCCTGCCACTCTACCAAACTCTCGTACAAGTTCTAGCAGTCTTTGTATTGAGTCTCTTGGTCCCTCTATGTAAAGGATCATGTAAATTAAAGAAAAGGTTTTTAATAATAAAAAAAAGGATCATATAATCTGCGAATAGTGAAAGCTTAACTTCTTCAATACCCATTTGAATTCCTTAGATTTCTTGTTGTATGCCCTCTGCAAGTACTTCTAGAACTATGTTGAATAGCAGTGGTAATAGCGGACATCCTTGTCTTGTTCCAGATCTCAGTGGAAAGGGTTGTAGTTTTTCTCCATTCAGTATAATGCTGGCATTGGGTTTTTCGTATATTGCTTTGATTATGTTGTGGATTGTTCCTTCTATGCCTACCCTGGTTAGGGTTTTTAGCATGAAGTGGTGTTGGATTTTGTCGAAAGCTTTTTCTGCATCTATTGATACTATTATATGATTTTTGTTCTTCAGTTTTTGGATGTGGTGTATCACATTTATGGATTTCTGAATGTTGAACCATCCCTGCATGCCAGAGATAAATCCTATTAGTCCAGATGAATGATCTGATTTTTTAAAAATTCTATTGACTTGAATTTTGTTGAGGATCTTAGCATCAATGTTCATCAGGGAGATTGGTCTGTAGTTTTCCTTCTCTGTTAGTTCTCTATCCGGTTTTGGGATTAAAGTGATGTTGGCTTCATAGAATGAGTTTGGAAGGGTTGCTTCCTTTTCTATTGTTTTGAAGAGTTTGTAGAGGATTGGGGTTAGCTCTGCTTGGAATGTTTTGTAGAATTCTGTAGTGAAACTGTCTGGACCTGGGCTTTTCTTTGTTGGGAGATCTTTAATCACTGATTTGATCTCTGCCTCAGTTATGGGTTTGTTCAGGTCTTCTGTTGCCTCTGGGCTAAGTTTTGGTAAGTGGTGGGAGTCTAAGAACCTTTCCATTTCCTGGTGATTTTCTGATTTGTTGGAGTACAGCTGTTTGTACTAATCTCTGATTATTTTCTTGATGGTTGCAGTGTCTGTTGTTACGTTTTGCCTTTTTCATCCTTGATGCTATTAATTCTCATTTTCTCTTGTTTTTTCTTTGTCAGTTGGGCCATTGGGGTGTCTATTTTGTTTATTTTCTCGAAGAACCAGCTTTTTGATTGGTTGATTCTGTGTATAGTATTTTTTTTTTATTTCTATTTGGTTTATCTCCTCCCTTCTTTGGTTTCTTGCTTCCTTTTGTTTGTAAGGTTGTTTTATTGCTGTTTCTTCAATTTCTGGAGGTGTGTGTTTAATTCTTGTAATTGGTATCTTTCTTGGGCTTTGACATAGGCACCAACTGCTATGAACTTACCATGCAACACTGTTTGGTGGTGTCCCACAAGTTGTGGAATTTTGTATTTGAGTTTTTGTGGGTTTCCATAAACTTTTTCATCTCATCTTTTACTTCTTCTCGGACCCATTGTTCATTGTAAGCACATTGTTCAGCCTCCAAGTGTTTACATATTTCCTGGGGCATTTTGATTTATTGATTTCCAGTTTCACTCCTTTGTGGTCTGAGAAGGTGCATGGTATGATTCCGATTTTTTTGAAGTTAGTGAGGCTTGCTTTGTGCCCTATCATGTGGTCAATTCTGGAGAAGGTGCCATGCACTGCTGAAAAAAATGTATATTCTGTGTCCGTGGGGTGGAGGGTTCTGTAAATGTCTACCAAGTCCATTAGTTCTATGGTCTGTGTGAGTTCTATTG